TAGGGTCGCTATGAGTCGCAAACGACTTGACGGCACATAACAAGAACAACAACATGCAGCGCAGATCATCTGGGAGGCTTCGGTCTATGAGAAGAAATCTGGCATTAGGATTGGAGGAAGACTCATCAACAACCTACATTATGCAGCTGACACAACTCTGCTTGCTGAAACTGAGGAAGACTTGAAGGGCTTACTGCAGAAGGTCAAGGATTGCAGCCTTCAAAATGGATTGAAGTTCAACATCAAGAAAACAAAGATTCTCACCACTGGGCCGATTGGTAGCATCATGATCGATGGTGAAGAGATTGAGATTGTTAACAGCTTTAGTTTGCTTGGCTCCACAATCAATACTCTTGGTACCAGCAGCAAAGAAATCAAAAGACAAATTGCATTGGTAAAGTCTGCTGCCAGGGACCTCTCCAGAGTACTGAAAAGCAACATTGTCAGTCTGGAGACTAAAGTGTGCCTGATCCAGGCAATTACTTGCTATGTGTCAGAAAGCTGGATAATGACTAGAGATGATAGAAAGAGAATTGATGCCTTTGAACTGTGGTGCTGAAGAAGAGTATTAAATATTCCATGGACTGCCAGGAGAACAATCAGATTGGTCTTGGAGAGTGTGAAACCAGGTTGCTCCTTGGAGGCAAGGAATCTGAGGCTTTGTCTGGCACACTTTGGGCATGTTGCAAGGAGGGACCAGCCTTTGGAGAGCAACATCATGCTTGGAAAGGTGGAGGGATAGTGCAAGAGAGGACAACCCTTGATGAGATGGCTTGATTCAGTGACTGGGGTAATGAGGGTAGGTGTGTCAGAGATAGTAAAGTTGGCACAGTATAGAGCAGGGTTCAGGAGTGTTGTACAAAGGGTCGCTGAGTCACAAGCAACTCAACACGTAACAACATGAGTTATACTCTACTCAATGGCCAGCACCTAACAACAACTCTATTCATCCGGAGCTCTGGTGAGCTAGTGGTAAGAATCTGTGCTGAAATCCCAAAGGCATGTGGTTTGGATCCACCATCTGCTTCAAGGGAGAAGGATCTTCTCAAAGTGATTTACTGCCTTTGGAAACTGCTGGAGTGTCAGCTATGGGTCTCTTCCAACTCGATCATATACTAGAACAAGTACAGTTACAACTGTCTGCACAGGGAAATGGGGTCGGGGGAGAGAGAGAGAAAGAGAAAAAAAAAAATGAGGACTGAACTATTCTCTGTGAAGGGCCAGCCTTGAGGCTCAAACTGATGAGTGAGGCCTTCTGCCCCAACTGGGCCCTTTGCTCTGGAACCCCAGTTCTCTGCCAGATGTTGTGTGTCCTCCCAAGTTGCAGTACCGTGGCTGTACAGAGAAAGGCAGATCTCAGACCACGGTAAATGGTAATAACGAGTTCCAGGCCGAGAAATGTGTTCTTCTATTTAACTTTATCTGACCTTCTGGGAATTGACTTCAAACAGAATCTTAGGGAGCTGTGATAGTTCGGCTGCCAGAGGCAAGGCCTAGAGGGCGCGGTTTTTCCGGCCCAGCCTCTCTCCCTGCCCCACCCCCCGGCCCCACAACCGAGCGCGCAGCTTTGCGGCGCCAGTGGGTGTTGGGGGGAGTAGGAGGAAGGAGGGGAGGGGGTTCAGAAGTAGAGGCTATATCTCAGCAAATTTAGGCTGAGAATGAGGAGGGGCTGCGGCAGTTTTAGGCAGACAAGGCTGGGCGGGGGTCGTGAGGGTCCTCACTCAGAGGAGAATCAACAGACAGGTGCCTCAGGCCTCTCTACCCCTCACTCCTCCAAAACCCGGGAGTTGGAGCCACCCAGAAGGCGTTTACTGGTAGTGTAGAAGGGGGTGGGAAGCTTGAGCCACCCGTCCAGGTTTGTGGGGGAAGCTTCCAGACCGGGGGACTGGCTAGCTTTGTGGTCACGACTGGTTGGGAATGGAGAGGGCGCTGGCGTTTGTCTTTGGTGGCTGACTTCCCGCGGTTGGTCCCCAGCGGGAGCCAAAAGCAAAATGGGGCGTGCCCACGGTGAGACCCAACCAGGGCCAAACAATCCTCATGGGGCAACCGGCAGTCCTTCGCAGCCCGGTGATCACCTTCACGATCTGATCACTTCCCCCTCAGGAAGAGATGTGGAATCGTTTCAAGGGTGAGACCCACCCCCGTGTCCGTGCACAGGACACCCTCCGCCCAATCGTTAGAAGGTCTCTTTTGCACACGTACGTCCCCACCCCCGGCCTGCACAGACTCTTCTCGAAATAGGTATCCTTGGTTCACACACTCCCTTCCTACTCCCCCTGCAAAGGGGAGTACAGAGATCCCTTGCACGCCGTGGGGAGGACTGTCGTAGACGAAGAGGCAAGGTGCCGGGACCATTTCTAGTTGTCACCCCCCAGGCCTAGCATCTGGAGCCACCTCCCCACGCCCGCCACGCACAGACATACACACGCGCGCTCACACACTCATGCTCACACAGACACACTCACACCCGCGCGCAGACCCCGCCCGCGGCCCCGCCCCGGCCCTTGCGCGCGCCCCCTCCGGCGCCCGCGGACCCCGCAGGCAGTCCGCCCCGGGCGGCAGGAGGCGGCGGCTTCGGGAAGATTTGATTTTCCCGCAGCCCCGGCTTCCCGGAGCCGGAGCTCGAGTCTAGGAGCTGACGCTCGCAGCAGCGTCCCCAGCCCCGCCACCGCCCGCGCTGAGACCCAGCGAGAGGCGGCGCAGCCTGGGCGCTCCAGGCTCCAAGCCGGGCCACCTCCGCCGCCCGCGCCCCATCCGGCGTCTCCAGCCCCACGCCCCTCGCCGGGTCTCCTACACGCCTTCTCGCCGCCGCGCGCGCCCCTCTTCCCGCTCCCTTCTCCACAGCTCCGCGTGCCTCTCCTGCTGCCCTCTCCCTGCGCCCCTCTCTGCGGGGAGCCCTAGCGCCCCCAGCACCCTACCCCTATCAGCTGGGCCACCAACCTCCTCGGCTCGCCGCCCTCACCCCCTCCCATCTCGGCGGCCCCCGCTCCCTCCGCCCCCTTCCCTCTCTCACTTCCCACGCCCCCTCTCCGCGCTCTCCTCTCCCATTACTGCCCGGCCCCGGCTCCGGAGTTGGGGGGAGGAGCCCCGGGGCTCTAGTCGTTCTGGAGGAGGCGCGAACAGCGCGAGGTTGACTAATTTGGGGTGGGGGGCGCGGTGGGCGATGGAGCAGGCGGAGGACATGGCGTCGCTGAGCGAGTTCGACTCCTTGGCGGGGAGCATCCCGGCCACCAAGGTGGAGATCACCGTGTCCTGCAGGTGAGCCGCCCGCTGGCCGGGTTCCCTCGCCCCGCCCCGCCCCTGGACTCTGGAGTCCCACAGCCCCTGGATTCACAGTCCGGCAACCTCAGTCGGCCCAACCCTCTGCCTCTGTGGGCTCCCTTCCCTCCGGGACGCCCACCTGCAGTCCACCCAGAGTCCCTGCCCAAGCGCAGGTGGCCACAGCGGAGAGGGGAGGCCAGGCTTGGGGTCGCATTCTGGAAAGTTTGCACTCCCGCCTGTACTATAGCGGCGAGGAGAACGAGGGTCCAGGCGCCCGAGTGGAGAGACGGAGATGGTGAAAGGTTATATCAGGGTCTCCCCGCAAATCCCTGTCTCTGATCAACCCTTGAGAACTGAGTGATTTGTCCCCATCCCTCCCAGGCGTGCCCACACTTTTTATTTGTGCCCTCCTTTCCCCTTTCCCCTCCTTTGCTCCAGCAACCTCCTCCTCCTCCTCCCTCTCCTCTTCTCTCCATTCTCCCAGACCTCAGAATCTTAAAAATGTTCTTTTACCTCCAACAACAAAACTCATATCGTGGGCAGTGATCGTTCTGAGGTGTGGATAAGCAGTGATAACCTGATGTGGACTATTTAAGAAAAGATCAATAATGATGAAAACTTGGAATTGTAAACCAAAGGAATTCCACTGATTGTGGAATTTTAAGAGTTCATCCTTCATCCTCAAAGTCTCAGTCACAGTGCACAGGGTTTGGGGGTAACTTCATCTAAGAGTGAGTCTCACTCAGGTTCTCCCAGCCAAGGGGAAGGCGGCCCCAGCGGTAGGGAGTAACTAGTGGTGGATTTTTTCCCTATTGCAGTCACCCTATGGCTGACACTGATTCAGGCAAAGCCCACCTTGAGACTGTCCCAGAAGAAATGCCATTCCCCCTGTTACACATGACCAGCAGTATTTCCAGAGAGCCCTGAATTCCAAGTCAACCACCCCGACCTCTTTGGTCACACCCTTCATCGAACATTAACTTCCAAAGTTGCGGCAATGGGGAGGTAGGTGTGGGTAGAACCAGAGGGGTGGGGTTGGGGGGCAAGAGAGTAGGAAGAACCGTGGGAGGTGAGTGTGGGTGGGAAGTGTGAGGTCGGACATAGCTGCCCCCCTGAGAGCCCCCACATGCCTCCGCCACAATTTTGACACAGGGAACTGTCAAAATCATCTTCCAGTGCCATTTACATCTTGCCTAACTCTGCTGGGAGACTCCTGATGGCCCAGTCTCACCTCCTCAGCCATCAGCAGCTGCCACAGCCCGCCCTTCCTTCTGTGCCTGACGCTCCCTCCTAGGCGTCAATCAAGTCTGTTGTTTTCAGCCTGTTCTTTCTAACCTCTTCATTCTAGTTTGGCTCCCCCCCCCCATACAGATATATGCAATTAGAATCTCTATTTTAACAAGATATGTTTTAAGAATCACCAGGAGATCTATAAGGATCACCAAAATGAACCAATTCAGAATCCTGCTTCAGTGTTATCTCAGGATCCAATCCCGCCTCTCAGCCTCTGAACAGCTCATTTCCCATTGAGATTTCCCTCCACCTCTGCCAGTTTACATCTCCTCTCACCCTGCTGAAAACCCTGGCTGGGCTCACCCACCTCCAGTTGTCCTTCTCACCTAGGGAACAGAACCCAAATCCCTGTCTTCCATGCCCCTGGGGCCCTGGGATCACTCACATATCAAGAACCAAACCAAGATGACTATGTGAGCATTTGAGGATAGGGACTCCCCTCTCTGGCTTGGACCCGGGAACCCTTGACTGCAGTGGAGAGAAGAAGCAGAGGGCAGAGAGCATTGTGGCTTTGCAGTCAGTCATCTTGAAGTGTCATCTCTGCTCTACCACTTGAGACACGCTTGGAGCCCCCCTTTTGTCATATGCACAGTGATGAGCAACTTTGGCTCATCGAGCGACCCTTGTTCACTGTGATTTTCATGTGTTTAGAGTAGCGCGTGGCACATAGTAGTTGCTTAACAAATACTCATGGAAAAATTAACTCATGGATACCTAGAGGTGGGTGAGCGAGCACAAGGCAGGACTGGGGAGATCTTAGTGCACGAGATAAGGGGGGAAAGTACACAACTTTGTACCTCCTTGACACGCAGTAGGTGCTTAATAAGGAATACCCTGAAGATTTCTGGTGGCACAGTGGTTGAGCACTCAGATACTAACCAGAAGGTCAGTTGATTAAACCTCCTAACCACCCTGAGGGCGAAATAGGCTTCAGTTGGCTTCTGTAAAGATTCACAGCTTTGGACACCCTAGCAGGCAATTCTACTCTGTCCTTGATGGTCAGTCCCAACTGTGAGTTGGCAAATAGCTTAAAATGGATGCCATGCTATCAATTGTGTTTTCTGAAAAAAGAATTATCTTGTGGAGCCCTGGAGATACAGTGGTTAAGCTCTTGTGTGCTAACAGAAAGGTTGTCTATTTGATGCCCCCTGGGATCTCCTCAGGAGAAATACACCTGGACTCTGTTTATGGGTATTAGGAAATCTGACAGGGGTAGTTCTACCCTGTCATTTAGAGTCCCTGTGAGTTGGGATCTACTTGATACAGACCTACAACATGTGATTACCCTAAGATAGTTAGCACTTCCTCCCTCATGTTTGACCTTCTTGCCTAAGAGATAACACCTGTGCACTTGTGGAGGGGGGTGTTTTCTGGAGTCAGTGCTGGCATCCATTCCCTCCAAGGGGACACGATCCACCAGCCTGAGAAGATCTCACCTGCATGCTCCTGCTCTCTAGAAAGCCAGAGGGTGAGGAAGTGGTTTTGTTGCAGAAAAGGGAGCAGTCGTTTGGAACAGAGGTGCAGCAAGTAAACAGTGTAGGTACGCTTGAAATGTTAGTAGATGTGTGCCGTTGCCTAGGCCAAGTCCAACTATCCAGATTCCAGACAGAGAGGAGAAGCAGGACAAGAGGAGGAGGACGTTGGGGTGGAGGGAGAGCTCCTTAGAGTGTGGTTTCCACCACATTCTTTATATCATAGTCACTGGTTGATGGAGTCAGGTCCTCTCACCTCACCCCACCCTGTGGTCAGCCATGATTGGACCCCTGAAGAAGAGCCTGTGGCTGTCCCTTTTCTGATTATCTGTGATACCCTCTGGTGGACAGGGACTAGTAGGGCAGGCAAAGTGTGAGACGAGCATTCAAGGGGCTTCCAGATAAGCCTCTGAGATTAAGGAGGTCAGCATTTTGATCCCCAGCAATGAAAGTTCCCAGTCGCTTTACTCCTCTGTTCCTCGGGAAGGTCCCTGCCATCCCTACAGCTCCAGGAGCGACCTGATCCCCTCGCACAGGGTCCAGCCGTTTGTCACACCCACCCTGGGGCACTCTTGACTGAACAAAGCTGTCTGGTCTTGTGGTACGTATGAATGTCAGCACTGAGATGCCTCAGAAGCCCAGCCATGTCACCACTCGAGGCAGATGACACTGTGAGATGGACTCATGTGGGTCCCTGCTTCAAGTATGGTGTTTCATAGACTAATTTAGAATTCATTGAAATTATTATTTTTACCTATTTGGATAAACTCTAGGCTGAAGATCAGAGTTGCTAGATGGTTAGCATGAATAGTTGAGAATGGGAACTCTGCCTTTGTCTCTCTGGCTTCAAATCTCAGTCCTGAGACTGGGACCTTGCTTCAGCTACTTATCTGTGCCTCACTTTCCTCAACTGACAAACCCAAACATCCCTGCCATTGAGTCAGTTCTAGAACGTGGTGACCCTCCATTGGATTTCTGAGAGTCTAGGTAAATCTTTAGGGACCTCTGGTGGCATAGTGGGTAAAAAGCTGCCCTGCCAACCCAAAGGCACGTGATTTAAATCCACCAGCTGTTCCTTTGGAGAAAGATGGGCAGTCTCCTCCTGTGGAGTTTACTCCTTCTGAAAATCCAGTGGAAGGTTATCCATGAGTCTGTTCTGACTTCATGGCAATGAAAGAGAGACTTTAATAGAAATCCGTCGGTGAGAACTTGGTAATGCATTTGACTGCTAACAGAGATTTGAGTCCACCCAGAGGTGCCTTGGAAGAAAGCCCTGGCAATCTACTTCTTCTGAGGGGGAACTCCAGTCATTGAAAACCCCATGCTCAGAATTCACTCTGTGATTTGGATTTGGGTTATTTAACACCTAAAACAACAACAACAAAGCCAAAAAAACAAACCACAACAACTCTATATAGCTGGGTCCCCATTTGTGAGGGTCCTGGAGGTCCGATCCATTTAGAGAATTTTGAGAGTTGTTTCGAGAGTAAGACAAATGGCTTGTGAAGTCAGAAACCAGCAGATATGTAGAAAACATGTCTTAAAAAAAACTCTCTCATTGAGCTAAACCTCCTTCCTCAAGTGGTTTAGTCTTGCTATTTCCTAACTTTGTTAGTGGGAACTTCAGACCTAATCAAAACGTATCCATCCAGTGTCCTCTGCCTCAGGGACCTCACTAATTTTCAGGTCTCTCCGTACCACCCCGGAGTGCCTGGTATTAGAATTATTTGCTTTTTTTTTTTTTCATGTGACAGGAAACCTTTGCACTTCAACAGGGACCTACTGCAGAAGCTGTGCCATGGTTAAAGAGCAAGATTGCACAGGATGGGCGCCTGGGGCCTGCGGGGGTGTCCAAACACAGGCTGGTCACTTGGTCCTGTTGGAATCTCTGTCTCAGACAGCTGCCCTTTTCCCGCTAGCTGGTGTGGGGCTGGTGGGCAGCTGGTGCCTCTGTCCTGGAGATATTTTCTGCTATCTGTTCAGGTTGGCGTTTTGCTGCCTGGGGGCCTAAGAAGCAGCCCAGCTCAGGGATAGTGCCCTGGGCTTCTCAGAAACATTGTGAAGTAGCTCCAAGCACTTTCTTCTGACAGGCAGGAGGAGGGTGACATTGGAGAAGATGGGGCCTGGGGACAGTGTGGCAGCTGTCAAAGCTGGAGCTAGGAGAAAGAGATCCGTTTAGTCATTGAATCTGCCAAGACACTCACAGTTCAGTGGAGCCTGGGGACTAATAAC